CCCCCCCCCCCGTGTCTTAGAGAATTACTGCGGGTGCAGTTTGCCAGGGGGTGCCCGTTCCCAGGAAGGTCGACTGGCCCTTCACAGGTAGCAGCGAGCTGTGCTAGGCCAGCTGCTCCCCCAGGCAAGCCCCCGCTCTTCATAGCCGTGTAAGCTGGCCGAGTGCAGCACTCGCCCCATGAGGAAGCAGGGACCACGGGAGGGCCGTGTGGGCCTTCTCTAGAGACCAGCCTCCGGTAAAGCTCCTGGAGCCTCCTACCTGGAGCCTGCAGCCCTGCCACCGAAACGGGGGTTTGTTTCGGTCCCCCTGGCTCCTAGGCGCCTGCCCGGCCTTGAGCCCTGTTGGCTTCCCGCGGGGCTGGCGAGCTCCGGGGGCGTTTGCACAAGTCCCCTGCTGCTTTGCGGGGGAGGCATGTTTGCTGCTCTGGCCAGCATAGGGCAGATGTGTCATGTTCTTCCCTGGCTTGTGGCTGCTACCAGCCTAGTTCTGTGGGCTGGCCGGTGTTACAGAGCCCAGCTCCTGGGAACAGAGCAGGAAGACTTCTGTATGGTGCTTCGATTAGCTCTTCCCTCGCCTCCCCGGCTGGCAATGTTGTGAATCCTAACCAGCGAGGGCCCTATCACTCCATTGCAAACTCTTGTGTACGAGGGCTTGGTGGTCCTATGGGAACCAGGCGAACGGCTGCATAGTTTCCTCCTGACTTGGTTCTTGTATGCGATTTGCAGTTACTTTTAAATAAACTCCGTATGTTGTTAACGGTTGGCTCTGTGTAAGGGTATTTGCCGATCTCGCCTCTTCCCTGCTGGGATTGAACCTGACTCCTAGGCCCCTATGGGGTTTATGAATTGACACCGCTCTAAGAATGAGGTTGTCCGACAGTGTGACTACTTCCCCTCCTGCAACGGAAGAAGGGGAGTTAGACGCCTGGGCGACACAGTGCAAACAGAAGTCCCAAGACCGGGACTTGCTGAAATGTATCTGAGATGGCTGAAAGCAGTAGACAGTCTGGCCAATGAAAAGGCAAAGGCAGAGCTTAACAGCCCTCCTGCTCATCTGTATCTCGGGAATAGCCTGTGCACGCTTCATGCTCTGCTACAGTCGGCCGAGAAATGGAAATTCCTTCCCCTGGAAAACTTTTGGGAGAAAAGTCCCGAAGTGGAACAAGCCAAAGCTGGATGTGTCAGGGAAAGGGAGATCTGGAAAAAATCCCTTTCAGAAGAACCAAACCGGACTTGTTTAAAAGCTTGTGGGACTGCCTGCCTGGAAGGCGTTAGGTGAAGGCCACCCAGTCGGCTAAACACTGTTTTGTGGCCCCCTTTCTAGATAAGGGAATGTCAACATCTTGCGTAAGGGGACATGTCAAAAGCAGCCATTTGCCTGCGAGGCCTGTGTCTCCGCGCTAGAGCTGCTGGCATGGCTAGAAGCACACCAAGTAGGTAAATACCTGCCGTCAGGGCCACCCAGCTGGCTACGTGAGAAAATAGTTTGAAACCAGTAAAAGCAGAGCAAGGGGCAGTGAAGGCTTTGGAGGAAAGTCCAAGGGGAGGGACTGACCATGTCATTAGTGCATAAGATGATACGTACAGTGTGTAGCATAGATTGCTCGCTTCTGTCTATAAATATTGGGGTACCACGACTTAACCCTTTGGCCGGCCTAGGGGATGATAGTATGGATTTCACCCGTCCATTGTCCTGGGTATAAATACACAGGGGCCCGGAGGCTATCTGGCTACTGACAACCATTAAAGTACTTCGTTCAACAATAAAGCTGGCGCAGGTGCCTTTGTATCTTACCTAAGGCTGGGGGCTTGTCTCCCTGCGCAGAGCTGGCGCGATGCACTGAGGGAGCCTATGAAAACGCAGGCAGCTGAGCGCTTATCATCCCGGGCAGAGCAGGAGGGCTGCCAGGACCCCACACCAGTGAATGCTACATTTACTGAAGCGCTGTCCTGCCCTACTACATCCCCCTTCCACGAGTGCCCCATGCCTGGGTCTTCTAGCTCTTGTTTGCTAAGGAGACACACAGAGCCGGAATGGGGAGCCAGTGCTCATGCTGGTAGAGCCCTGAGCAGGCAGCTGGCCTAGTATTCCCACCCAGCCACCCCTAGGCTATGTCTACACTGGTGCGATCTTGTGCCAGAAATATGCAAATGAGGCTAAGCTGAGCCTCATTAGATATGCAAATGAGCCACCATTTTTGCAGAAGAGGCTCTTGCTCCAGAAGGAGCTGTCTACACTGCCCCTTCTCGCGCAAGAAAAGCCCTCTTGCACCATGCCCTTATTCCTGGAAATAATCAGCGTGGTGGCATTGTGCAAGAGGGTTTTTCTTGCGCAAGAAGGGGCAGTGTAGACAGCTCCTTCTGGAGCAAGAGCCTCTTCTGCAAAAATGGTGGCTCATTTGCATATCTAATGAGGCTCAGCTTAGCCTCATTTGCATACTTCTGGCACAAGATGGTGCCAGTGTAGACAGCCCTAATGCGTCTCCAAAGCATAAGCCATGGGGCTCCCTGGAAAGGAAGAGACAGCTGAGGCTGCAGGGAGCGGAAAGGGATAGTTCAGGAGGGTGGAATGAGGAGGAGCGGGAACCTCTGGGCCTCCGTAGCTCCCAGGCAACCAAGTGCCTCTTTGGACAAGACTCTGGAGGAGGAGGAGGCCGTAGAGGAGGCAAATGCTTTGTCTCTAATACAGAAACAGCAAAGAGCCAGTGTGGAACTGAAAGGCAACGGATCTAGACACCGGTGATTACAGAACCCGTGGCCGTGATTTCCACACGCCGCCTACCTGGATCCAAGAGCTCAGGCCAGGTGTGTCTAGTCTTTGTGGCCTGAGGGCTGAATGTGCTGTCCCCAAAAGCTCTGGTGCAATCCGCACTTTGAGGCTGGCTCTGTCCCTTCCCTTTCCGCTCCTGGACTATGTCTACACTGTGCATTGTTGTGCAATGATATATGCAAATTAGGTGCAGGGATGAATATTGCTGTGCCTCATTTGCATACCTAATGAGCTGCCATTTTGGGGGCACGGGCTTTTGCGCAAGGAGGAGCTGTCTACACTGCTCCTTCTTGCACAAAAAAACCCTCTGGCGCAGAGCCGTTCGGCCGCTTATTTTCAGGAAGAACAGCTCTGTGCAAGGGGTTTTTTTGCTCAAGGAGGAGCAATGTAGACAGCTCTTTCTTGCGCAAAAGCCCGTGCCCCCAAATGGCAGCTCATTAGGTATGCAAATGTGGCACAGCAATATTCATCTCTGCACCTCATTTGCATATCTTATTGTGCACCAATGCACGGTGTAGCCATAGCCCAGGAGTGTCACGAAGCCAACCACCAATGGGCAGTTGTGCTGGGGATTTGCAGCGTGTGGGGCTGCTGTGTGTTGCCTGATGTGTGCACTGGGCCGTAACATTAGAGGACTCCGTCGTTATAAAACTAGACTGGCTTTTTTTATCAAGAGAACGATTTTTGTTAGATCTCTCTGCAGCCAGCATTGCAGCCCTGTGGGCACAGCCTGACTTCCCTTTGCCTACAGTCTGTGCTCCTCCCTTCGGTTTCCATGCAGGTTGCTGCAGGATGGAAGCCTCCAGTGGCCCAGCCAGCTCCTACACCTCCCCCTGCAGCCCTTGGGGTATCTGACACGGGCAGCCGCAGAGTCCCGGCGGGGGACCACAGCAGAGTAGCCCAAGTTAGAGCCTGGTGGGTGACTAAGAACAAGGCGTATTGCTGGTAGTTGGTGCCACCGTGATGGCAATTTCTTGCCAGACCCTTGAGCGACCTTATTTATTGGGTACCTAGGTTTGGGGTCATCGTCTGCCATGAATGGTTTTTGTGTTCTGGTGGGTTGGGACTGGATGTAACCTCTCAGGGGAGGAGGGACGTGAGCCCTGGGAAATGGGTAATGTGCCAGACAAGAATGGTTACAAGGCGGCTGGGGGGGGGGGGAGTCGCTGCAAAGTTCTTCCCAAAGCCAGCCAGGCCCCAGCCCGCTGAAGCCATGTCTCCAGGAGGGGGCCAGTGCCTGCAGATCACCTCGTCCCGGCCTCTCACCAAAGGCCTACGCTGGAGCAAGGAAAGAGGGAACTAGTCAGCGGGCTAGTTGTGCTGTGAATCGGAACGCCAGGAAAAGCCCCAGTAGGGGGCTGGAAGGCTGGCTTGTCCCTAGCTGAGTCAGGGTGCCAGGGCGATGGGTCTCTGCTGGGTTTTCAGGGGTGCTGGGGGCCCGGCCAGGGCGATGCTTTGCTGGGTTTTCAGGGGTGCTGGGGGGTCCGGCCAGGGCGACGGGTCTCTGCTGGGTTTTCAGGGGTGCTGGGGGGTCCGGCCAGGGCGACGGGTCTCTGCTGGGTTTTCAGGGGTGCTGGGGGGTCCGGCCAGGGCGACGGGTCTCTGCTGGGTTTTCAGGGGTGCTGGGGGGTCCGGCCAGGGCGACGGGTCTCTGCTGGGTTTTCAGGGGTGCTGGGGGGTCCGGCCAGGGCGACGGGTCTCTGCTGGGTTTTCAGGGGTGCTGGGGGGTCCGGCCAGGGCGACGGGTCTCTGCTGGGTTTTCAGGGGTGCTGGGGGGTCCGGCCAGGGCGACGGGTCTCTGCTGGGTTTTCAGGGGTGCTGGGGGGTCCGGCCAGGGCGACGGGTCTCTGCTGGGTTTTCAGGGGTGCTGGGGGGTCCGGCCAGGGCGACGGGTCTCTGCTGGGTTTTCAGGGGTGCTGGGGGGTCCGGCCAGGGCGACGGGTCTCTGCTGGGTTTTCAGGGGTGCTGGGGGGTCCGGCCAGGGCGACGGGTCTCTGCTGGGTTTTCAGGGGTGCTGGGGGGTCCGGCCAGGGCGACGGGTCTCTGCTGGGTTTTCAGGGGTGCTGGGGGGTCCGGCCAGGGCGACGGGTCTCTGCTGGGTTTTCAGGGGTGCTGGGGGGTCCGGCCAGGGCGACGGGTCTCTGCTGGGTTTTCAGGGGTGCTGGGGGGTCCGGCCAGGGCGACGGGTCTCTGCTGGGTTTTCAGGGGTGCTGGGGGGTCCGGCCAGGGCGACGGGTCTCTGCTGGGTTTTCAGGGGTGCTGGGGGGTCCGGCCAGGGCGACGGGTCTCTGCTGGGTTTTCAGGGGTGCTGGGGGGTCCGGCCAGGGCGACGGGTCTCTGCTGGGTTTTCAGGGGTGCTGGGGGGTCCGGCCAGGGCGACGGGTCTCTGCTGGGTTTTCAGGGGTGCTGGGGGGTCCGGCCAGGGCGACGGGTCTCTGCTGGGTTTTCAGGGGTGCTGGGGGGTCCGGCCAGGGCGACGGGTCTCTGCTGGGTTTTCAGGGGTGCTGGGGGGTCCGGCCAGGGCGACGGGTCTCTGCTGGGTTTTCAGGGGTGCTGGGGGGTCCGGCCAGGGCGACGGGTCTCTGCTGGGTTTTCAGGGGTGCTGGGGGGTCCGGCCAGGGCGACGGGTCTCTGCTGGGTTTTCAGGGGTGCTGGGGGGTCCGGCCAGGGCGACGGGTCTCTGCTGGGTTTTCAGGGGTGCTGGGGGGTCCGGCCAGGGCGACGGGTCTCTGCTGGGTTTTCAGGGGTGCTGGGGGGTCCGGCCAGGGCGACGGGTCTCTGCTGGGTTTTCAGGGGTGCTGGGGGGTCCGGCCAGGGCGACGGGTCTCTGCTGGGTTTTCAGGGGTGCTGGGGGGTCCGGCCAGGGCGACGGGTCTCTGCTGGGTTTTCAGGGGTGCTGGGGGGTCCGGCCAGGGCGACGGGTCTCTGCTGGGTTTTCAGGGGTGCTGGGGGGTCCGGCCAGGGCGACGGGTCTCTGCTGGGTTTTCAGGGGTGCTGGGGGGTCCGGCCAGGGCGACGGGTCTCTGCTGGGTTTTCAGGGGTGCTGGGGGGTCCGGCCAGGGCGACGGGTCTCTGCTGGGTTTTCAGGGGTGCTGGGGGGTCCGGCCAGGGCGACGGGTCTCTGCTGGGTTTTCAGGGGTGCTGGGGGGTCCGGCCAGGGCGACGGGTCTCGGGTGGACTCCATCATGCTGGTGGAGGAAGGGTTCAGCGTGACCAGCGTCGACGCCAGCGACAAGATGCTCAAGTACGCCCTGAAGGAGCGCTGGAACCGGCGGAAGGAAGAGGCCTTTGACAAGTGGGGTAGGCGCAGCGCCTGGGGGGGCGGGCGGG